TTACTGACCATGATAATGGGCATTAGAAAAAACCCACTGGTAACATTACACTCAATGGTAAAAGACAAAAAGCTTTCTTCTTCAGATGAGGAATAAGATAAAGATGTTTGTTATTACCACTGCTACTCAACATTGTACTGTAAATTCTAGCCAGAGCAATTAGACAAGAAAAAGATGAGTAGCATCCAAATTGAAAGGGAAAAAGGAAAACTCTTTCTGTTGACGAATAACATGATTCTATGTGTAGAAAATTTAAAGAGTTCACAAAAAACCTGCTAGAGTTAATAGACAAATTCAGCAAAGTTACAAGATACAAGAGTGACATACACCATCAATGAACACCGCAAAATGGAAACTAAGGAAACAGTTCCATTTATAATAGCATCCAAAAGAATAGATACCTGGGAATAATTTTAACCAAGAATGGGAAAGATTTTACACTGAAAACCAAAAACCATTGCTGAAACAAATTAGTAAAGAGCTAAATAAATGGGGAGATATCCCATGTTCACAGCTTGTAAGATTTTATTGTGTTAAGATGGCAGTACTACCCAAAATGACCTGCAGAATCAATGTGATCTTTATCAAAATTCTAACTTCCATTTTTGGTATTGGTACAAGGATAAACTTAGGGACCAGTGTAAAAATAGAATTATATGTGTATAATTATAGTGTGTAAATAAACCCTATATTTATGATCAATTGATTTTTAATAAGGATTCCAAGACCATTCAATGAAGAAGGAATAATCTCTTAAACAATGCTTCAGACAACTGGATATCCACACGCAAGAACATGACAGTGCGTCCCTTTCTCACACTGTGTACGAGAATTACCTGAAACGGGATCATTGATCCAAGTAACGAGTTAATAAAACTCTTTAAAGTAAACATAGGGATATATCTTCATGATTTGGATTTGCCTATGGGTTCTTAGACACAACAACAAAAACACAATCAGAGAAAAAGTAGGGTAAGTAGAACTTGATCAATATTTAAAACTTTACTGCTTCAGAAGTACTCAAGAACCTGAAAAGACATCCTACAGAATGGGAGAAAATGTTTGCAAATCATATATCTGATCAAGAGCTAGTATCCAGAATACATAAATAACTTCTACAACTCAGCAACAAAAGATAACAACTAATAAATGGGCAAAGGACTTTATTATAGACATTTTTCTGAAAAGAAGAGCCCACAATCACATGAAATTAGTTATTAGGGAAATGCACATCAAAACACCAGGATAACTACTTCACATATACTAAGATGACCATAATGAAAAGATAGTAACAAGTGTTGGCACGTATGTGGAGATATTAGAAGCATCCTACACTGCTAATGGGAATGTAAAGTAGTGCAGCTGCTGTTGAAATAGTTTTGTTCACTTCTCAAAAACCAAAAAAACAAGTTGGTGGTTGCCAGGCTTTTGGGGAGAAGGAACAATGGAGTGACTGCATGGGGTTTAAGATTTTCTTTTGGAATCATAAAAATGTTTGCAGACTAAATAGAGGTAGTAGTTGTACAACATTGTGAATGTACTAAATCCCATTCACTTGTACACTTTAAAATGGTTAATTTTGTTATGTGAATCTAACTATTAATACAAAAAAAGGTGAGGGTAAAAGAAACACTTTCACACAAGCAAAAGAATTCATTGCTGACTGTACTATAATAAATATTATAATAAATAAATATTGTGTCCTTGCCTCTAGTCTTCCCCCCTGAAATATTTTAATGAGCCTTCAGCAGAGAACACTTAAATTTTCTAACATTCTAAGCATATATTTCTAATATTCTAACCATACCCTCACCACAGGGCCTTTGTATTAGCTGTTTTGCAAGGCTCACTTCTTTATTTCCCTTATGTCTTTATTGGAATGACCTTCTCTGTGAGGCCCTAAAATTGCAATTCTCTTCCCCATATTTTTTCCATAATACTGATCACTTTTTAATATTAGAAAACTTACTTATTTCTCTTTCTCTCAGACATTACATGATCTCAATGTGTTAGTTTCTGTCCTACAAATTTGCTCCTTTTGTTCATTAGTTCTGTCAGTTTTTTGTATGTCTGTATGTGTGTATGTAGAGTGGAACTTTAGGTACAAGATCACGTCATCTGTGAATGGAGATCTTTTTACTTCTTCCTTTCCAATTTGGATGCCCCCCCCACTTTTTTTTTTCTTGCCTGATTGGTCTGGCTAGGACTTTTTTTCCCCCCAGTGTTCCAAGATTCATTGTTTATGCACCACATCCAGTGCTCCATGCACTATGGCTAGGACCTTCAATACTGTGTTGAATAGAAGTGTTAGGAGTAGGCATCCGTGCATTGTTCCTGATCTTTAAGGAAAAGCTTTCAGGTTTTTTTTTACTATTGAGTATGAGGTTAGCTATGGGCTTTTCACACTTGGCCTTTGTTATGTTGAAATAGTTTCCTTCTATTTCTAGTTTATTGAATGGGATGTTTTTCTTTCCCTTAATCATGAAAGGGTGTTGAGTTTTGTCAAATACTTTTTTTCTGTACTAATTGAGATGGTCACACAGTTTTTCTCCATTTTGTTAATGTAGTATATTCCACTGATCAGTTTTCATGTGTTCAACCATACTGTCCTTAAGTTCACAGGAATAAATCCCACTTGGTCATGGTATGGTATATAATCCTTTTAATGTACTGCTGTATTCAATTTGCTAGTATTTAGTTGAGGAGTTTTTCATCAGGATTCCTCAAGATATTGCTCTATAGTTTTCTTCTAGTTTCTGTGTCTGCCTTCGGTATTGAGGTAATGCTGGCCTCATAAAATGAGGTTAGGCATGTTGCCTCCTCTTCAGTTTTTTGGAAGAGTTTAAGAGGGAGGGAAAAGTGAAACAAGATGAAACCAGAGAGGGAGACAGACCGTAAGAGACTCTTAATCTCAGGAAATAGACTGAGGGTTGCTGGGTGGGAGGGTGGTGGAGGGGTGGGATGGCTGGGTGAGGGACATTGGGGAGGGTATGTGCTATGGTGAGAAAAAATATATATATTTGATTTTATTCTAATTTACTAAAAAATACACATAGAGAATTTTAAAAAAAGAAGGATTGGTGTTAATTCTGTAAATGTTTGGTAAAATTCTTTAGTGAAGTCTTCTGGTCCTGGGCTTTTCTTTTTTGGGAGATTTTAAATTTCTGATTCTGTTATGCCCAAGTTTTCGTGTCTGAGAGACCACCAAGGAGCCAACACCGATGCAGTCACACGAGGGTTTATTCAACAAGCTTAAGCTTGGACCCAAGTATACCTGACACAGCGGAGTAGGGACTTGGACCCCGAGCTTAGTTAAGGCAGGAGTATTTATGGGTCATTACAAGAGGTTTTGGGCGGGGGGGGGGGGAGGTAAAATTTCAAACTTTTCTGTAGCAAGCTGATTAGCTGTTGCCGGGCTGTTTACAGGGTTGGGTACTTTCCTGGAACTAAAGCAGGGTGGGGTTCTTAGAACTAAGGTAAAGTAGGGGAAAGTTCAGCCTTTGGTCACAGGGGCCTAAGATGGCTGCCAAAGCTAAAACGGCTGTACTTGTGCTAATGCTAAACTCGAGGTGGGATGGCCTTAATTTCTCAGCCTCCACAATTCAATCTCTTTAATTGTTATAGGTTTCTTCAGATTTTTTTATTCATAATTTTATCATGGTAGGTTATATATGTGTAGGAATTTATGCATTTCTTCTAGGTTATCCGACTTGCTGGTGTATAATTATTCATAGTATCTTAAAAATCCTTTTTTAATCCTGTGTTACCAATTGTAAAATATCCTTTTTAATTAATGATTTTAGTTGTTTACTGTCATTTTTCTTCGTTAATATAGAACAGCTTATTTCGTTTTTTCAGAGAATAATATTCTGTTGTACAGATGTTCCACATTTTATTTGTTCACCTATTGAAAGACATCTTGGTTGCTTCTAGGCTTTGCCAGTTATAAAAATAACAACAACTGCTTTAAACATTGATGTTTTGTGGATATGAATTTTCAGTTTTGGCGGGGTAAATACATAGAAGCAAGATTGCTGGATCGTGTATGTGTAAGACCATGTTTAGTTTTAGAAGAACTGCCAAACCACCTTCCAAAGTAGCTGTTCCATTTTGCATTTCCTCCAGCAACGAATGAGAGCCCCTGGTGGTTTCATGTTTTTACCAGCATTAGGTGTTATCAGTCTTTTGTATTTTAGCCGTTCTGAGAGTTTTTTAGTAGTATCTCATCGTTGTTTTAATTTGCACTTCCCTAACAATGTATGATGTTGGACATGTTTTCATTTGCTTATTTGCTATCTGTGTATCTTCTTTGGTAAGTTGTCTGTTCAGATCTTTTGCTAATCTTAATTTTCTGCTTTTTGAGAATATTGAGGGTCAGGGCCTATTGAATATTTGATTTTGGAAAGTCTTCTAATAACAATTTGTTTCTTTTTTCATTTATTTTAGATCATAACCTCCTTTCTTCTCTCTCTTCCACCTTCTCTCCTTCCTTCTTGTCACCTAAAAATATTTATTTTTATTTTTATTTTCTATTTATTTACTTAACTTATTTTTCTTTATGGTTGAGTTTGAAGTTTTTACTGTAGTTTAATTTTTTTCTTAATTGGAAGTTTTAGTTTTGCTAATTAGATTTTCATGATTACATTTTTATCTGGTATAAGTCATATTTCTTTTTAATTTTTCTACATTGAGCATCAGTTTTTTCCACAGTGAACAAAGCTGACATCTTATAATCAGCTAAGGGAATGGTGGACTTTAGGTGGCTCCAGAGCGCAGTAGTGAAATGACTTTGGTTTGCTAGTGGGTACTCATTCCTTTAGTCTGATGACCTGAGGGTCATCTTGCCTTTTGGATACCATCTTGAAATTGTTACTAGGGCCTTAGAAAAATGGTGGACCTCAAATCTTTAGTATTCATTAGAAAAGTAGTATTTTGTAACTATTTTAAATACACAGTGCCTTACTCCATGTGTCTTTTTTTCAACTTCTGTCCTCCTACAGTCACCAGAGAAGAAAGGAAAAGAAGCAAATACTGGTTTTGGTGGGCCTGTTGTTAGTTCTCTGTATCATGAAGAAATCATCAGGTAATTTCTCTTCTAGTTTTTGATAATAGAGATACATACATCTAAATTTGTGTATACGTGTGTGTGTGTGTGTGTGTGTATGTTTAATTCTGAAAACTTCCATCTGTGAAGAACTTTTTCTTAATGAAACTAATTTGGTTGTATCTCTAGTAATATAATAAATAGCAGGAAAATTTTTTAGATATATTATCTTTGAAGTCAATAAGCATCTGAATCAGTGCCAGATAGTAACTTTTCCCACCACGTATAGTTGATAAGGCAAGGTTTTGTGTCTCACACAATCTGAAACCGTGGGGTTTTGTTGTTGGTGTTAGTTTTCCTCAGAATACCTTATTTCTTTGTGTGTGTGAGTGTGTGTATGTATATGTCTAGTTTTATTCACACTGATAAAAATGCCATTTTTTTTTTTTAAAGTATGGCTGCAGTCTGAGCTAAAGTATGTAAGGGGAAGTATTGATTCAGTCCCATGAAGCTTATACAATTTCTAGAAAATATTTATGTTCTTTTTTAGGAAAAAAAGTTTTAAATTTGTTGTTGTCATTGTGAAATTAGCATTATTTCTTTTAAAGATTAAAAATCAGGGGCGCCTGGATGGCTCAGCAGGTTAAAGCCTCTGCCTTCGGCTCAGGTCATGATCCCAGGCTTCTGGCATCAAGCCCTGCATTGGGCTCTCTGCTCAGAAGGGAGCCTGCTTCCTCCTCTCTCTCTGCCTGCCTCTCTGCCTACTTGTGATCTCTCTCTGTCAAATAAATAAAATCTTAAAAAAAAAAAAAGATTAAAAATCATGTTGAGTATAAAATGGTACAGTAAAGAGAATATTGCAGAGGATTCTCAAAAAAATTAAAGAATTACTGTATGATCCAGCAGTTCAGCTTCTGGTTTTATATACACAAGAATTGAAAACAGGATCTCAGATACCTATTTGCACACCCATGTTCATAGCAGCACTATATTCATAATAGCCAAGAGGTGGAAGCCACCAAAATGTCCATAGACAGAAGAATGGATAAACAAAATGTGATATATATACATATAAGAGAATCTTATTCAGCCTTAGAAAGGAAGGACATTCTGACATAGACTGTAGAATATGGATGAACCTTAAGGACATAATGCTAAGTGAAATAAGCCATTCATAAAAAGATAAATACAGTATGATTCTTCCTAAGTGGAGGTATCAAGAGTATCAGATTCACAGAAACAAAAAGTAGACTGGAAGTTGTCAGGGGCTGGAGGAAGTGGGAAAGGAGGAGTTGTTATTTAATGGGTGTAGAGTTTTAGTTTTGCAAGATAAAAATTTCTGGGGATTCGTTGTTGGACAACCAATGTACCTACCATTACTGAACTGTACACTTAGAACTGGTTAAGATGGTAAATTTTATGTTATGCGGGGTTTTGTTTTTTTTTTAACGACAATTTTAAAAAATTCTTAATGTTTATCTTGTATTATTTAACAAGGATCTTACATTTTATATGTTATATAAAATTTCTTGGATAGTTTTTTTCTTTCAGCACTATGGGGAAATCAGGAAAAGGATTTTGTTCTTCTTTAAAGTCATGTGACACATTCTTCTAAGATTTTTAGTCTTGGCCTTTTTTTTTTAAGTCATCTAAATTTTAGTCTTCTTATATATTCTGGAACATATTTTTAAGATACGAAACAGTAGGAAACATGAATGTGAACCACTGAAAGCCTTTTAACTATTATAGACATTAATTTTGTCATTGCTAATAGCAGATCAGAAATAACAGCACTTAGTTATTTTCTTATATTTGAGAAATTATTTTGTAATTAAACTGAATTCCACTATAATAAACTAGGTCATGATAAAAATTACTCTAAACTGAAATGTTGGATTTTTTCAATAAAGGATCATATGTGGCCCTGTTGTTTCTAAAGTATAAGAATGCAGTTGCAACAATGAATATAGGCTATTTGTTTAAGTTTATATAATCAAATTTTGTTTTTACTTAGGTGAAATATACCTGGTGTTTTATTTTTCCAAAAGGAAGTTGTGCTTTAACTTAAATTAATTGCAGTTTCTTGGCAGAATTATGTTCACCTGAGGTGAAAGTGACAGGTTTTAGAGTTTTAGAAATGTTAAATGGTAAACTTAGGTGAATGGAAAAGTTCTCTTCTGTAGAACCAATGTTTTTGGTTCTACAAAAAAAGGAACTGGAAGGCATTTTGTATTTATTTATTTACTTACTTACTTTAGAGAGTGGGGAGGGAGGGAGGGAGAGAGAGAGCACGAGCAGGAGGGGCAGAAGGAAGGGGAGAGAATCCCAAGCTGACTACACGTGCTCAGCATGGAACCTGACTCATGATCCTGAGATCATGACCTAAGCTAAAATCAAGAGTCAGATGCTTAACCGACTATGCCACCCAGGAGCCCCCTAAAAAAGTATTTTGAAGGTCTGTTTTGGTTATTTTAATATATATAGTCTTCTAAAATTTTTTTAAAGATCAGGAAAAATCAGTATCTAATAAAGTCATTTAATAAGGCTTGGGCTCCATTGTTCTGACAGCTTTCCTGATTAATGTGCATTGTAGGTAATAAGTTAAGGCCCATTTTTGTTTTATTGTAAATGTTCTTTTTTTTTTTTTTTCTTAAGATTTTATTTACTTATTTGAGGGAGAGAGAGCACAAGCACAGGGGTGCAGAGGGAGAGGGAAAGCAGGCTCTCTCCTGAGCAGGGAGCCTGATGCGGGACTCGATCCCAGGACCCTCTTATCATGACCCGAGCCGAAGGCAGACTCTTAACTGACTGAGCCACCCAGGTGTCCCTATTGTAAATGTTCTTGAGCCAAGGGCCACTGGGGCCAATTCTGAGCCTCTTTTGGTTCTGACCCTTATTTCTACTCTGTCACAGAAAGTGACAATATAATGTCATAGGTTCAGATCTGTGTGTTAATATTCTACAGTGCTGACACAAATTTTTTAAAGATTTTGTTTTATTTATTTTGTGGGGGGAGGTGCAGAAGAGGGACAAACAGACTCCATGATGAGCGCAGAGCCCACCAAGGGACTTGATGCAGGGCTGGTTCTTATGACCCTAAGATCATGACCTGAGCTGAAATCAAGAGTCGGCTGCTTAACTGACTGAGCCACCCCGATGCCCCCCGACACCAGTTTTCCATCATGAAGCTGGTTAATTGTTCTGTAGGGAGACATAGTGTGACGCTAATTAAGTATAAAATACTATGAAGCCGAACTGCCAGCACTCAAATGTTGATTCCACCACTTATTAGCTCTGTGACCTTAGACAAGTTACTTTATTTGCAAAATGGGGATAATTATATTACTTTTCTCATATGACACTTACATGGATTGTATCAGTATGTATGCCCAGGCATCTTAGAGTAGTATCTGGCACAAAATAAGTTACTATGTAACTGTTAACTTTTATTGTCATTCAGCAAAGAACCCCCACAACAGGGACCCAGGGCACAGGGCTTATGTTAGCTAAAATCACATGTTGGTTTGGTTATAGAATTAAGTGCAGGTTGTTTGGTTTTGTAAGAGAAAATGGAAAATAAGAAAGGAAGAGCCAGTACTACTAGAATCTGTGTTTGGAACTATAGAAACAAGAGAGTGACAAATCTTTTAACTCACAGACAGTTGCTCTAGTCTTAAGATCAGATGTGTTTCATTTATACTACAGATGGGTAGAAGAAGCTCTGATTAATAAAGCATAGGGTTTTGCAAAGAGTCAAATGCTTCTGCACCACGTACACTGACTCACTTAACAAGAAATCACTTTTAGTGACTTGTATGCTTAGAAGGTTTTATCTAGAAGTTGGCACGTAAACTGAGAAATTAGGGCAAGAATTAAAAATACAATAAATGAAGCTTGTACAGTGTCCATTCTACCCTACAATAAGATTTGGTCTTCCCTGTTGTATTTGTAGTTTGATGCTATGTAATCTATCAGAATTTTATTAATCCCACTTAGACAGGCAGCCATCTGGACCTTCTCTAAGCAAGACCAGACCAGTATACAACTAAGATGATTGATGGGCTCTGGAATTGATTAGTTGTTCTGTGAGACAAATGAACTGTTTTGGCAGAAAATACCAGAGGTCACTGCTGTGGTCAAACACAAAAGCCTGTAGAATTTTAAAGAGGTGCTTTCATCATTGATTTATAAAGTTAAAAATTTTTAAACAACATTGGATTTTGAAAATATTTTAGAAATATCTTTTGACTGGCTGCTCTTTAGTTCTGATTATAAAGTGGCATAATATAAGTATAATAAACTACAATGAATGTGATTATACTTTAATTTTGTATTTTTGGTAAAAAATATGAACTGGAGTGAGAGTGTAAAAGCTTATCCCTTACATGTAAATTGTACTCTAAAATGTTCCTGAGAGAGGTGTAATTGCAGAAAAAGCTACAACATATATTGTTTTATTTTTAAGTGATTTATAAAATCAGGTGGTATGAAATTCCATTCAGTTATTTATTCAAAGCTTCACATTGTTAGATGGCATCTGTTTGGACAAATCCACGTAAGACTCCAAAGTTTCATGAGTATACATATACAAAATAGACGTATTTTATGTTTTAAAATTTGAAAATTTGGATTTTTTTTGCATTCAGTTGGTTAAGTCATTCTGGAATGCTACTGTAGCATTGATACCACTGTCCTCAGCACCAAAAAGATTATACTGCTTCCCCACATCTGTTTGGCTGGTACTAGGGAAATCCTTCTCTATTTCACTGTGTTGCCCATGATCAACATTGTGTTAACACTTTGGTGGTAGGTGATAAATTGGATGACATATGTCTTGTTACATTCTGGTTATTCTTTGAGGACTACACAAGTGTGTATCGGCAAGTGGGCAACTCCCCCTTGAGAATCTGACTGCTCAGAATGAACTTGAGTTATGGATTTATTCAGCCTGTAAAACCTCAGCTGGCATAAATAATTGAGAAAGCAAAGGTTTTTCTGTGGTGCATACCTCAGGGACTCATGGCTCCCTTCCTCCTCTC